GATGTAGTTATTCTTACAAATTAAAAAAGTGGTATACCTAGTGAACTTTTGTCATATTTGATCCCCCAGACTATTACCTTCTGCAATTTTATTTTTCAGTGAGCAAATATTTTAATATTTTGCATATTTAGTTCTGCAAACTTTTCCTCTGAGATCTTCTGCTCTTCAAGAGACAGTTCTCATTCCTTCTCAGGCACGCGTCATAAAATGTTCCAAGAAAGTTTTCAGGAATTCTCTCTGATAAACATTCTATTTTGCTTTTCCCCACAGTCTCTACAGTTTTAAACATTCGTCCTTAACCCATCTGGAATTAATTTTCATAAATTACATTTTCCAGTTACCTCATCTCCACTAACCGCCTCTCCCCAGAGACACAGAGGTGTGGTTCTTCACTCCCCAACAGGCCCGCTGGTGCTTGGTTCAGCTTTGAGCCAGCAGCACCTCACTGCTTCCCCACAAACTACACAGTCTGACCTGCACCTCAGTTTTCTTTCAAGTCATACGTTCCAAGGATTTGGGGGCAATTAGAAATAATAAAAGTAAAATATCTCGTACAATGTCTGACACACAGTGGATACCCTGTCAATAGGAAATATTTTAATTATCTAATGTCTGATGGAGTATAAAAGTAACATGCCAAAAATTTCACTTCAGGGGTGCCTGGGTGGCTCAGATGTTGGGCGTGTGCCTTTGGCTCAGGTCATGATCCCAGGGTCCTAGGATCCAGGCCCACTTCGGGCTCCTTACTTGGCCAAAAGCTGCTTCTCCTCTCACTCCCTGGGCTTGTGTTCCCTCTCTAGAGCTGTGTCTCTGTCACATAAATAAAAAAATATCAAATAGGGACGCCTGGGTGGCTCAGTTGGTTAATCGGCTGCCTTCGGCTCAGGTCATGATCCCAGCGTCCTGGGATCGAGTCCCGCATCGGGCTCCTTGCTCAGCAGGAAGCCTGCTTCTCCCTCTGCCTCTGCCTGCCACTCTGCCTGTGCTCATTCTCTCTGACCAAAAAAAAAAAATAAAAATAAAAATAAAAAAATAAAAAATATCAAATAAATAAATGAAAATTTCACTTCAAAAACTTCAAAAACATTAGGTTTAACCAACTTAAAGTTAAAATACATTATTTTAATTAAAAATAGCATCCTATTATAAACTTATTAAAAATAATATCCCATTATAAAACTTATTTTACCTTTTTATATTTTAACAACAACAACAAAATAATTATTGCATTCTACCTGTATCAACACGTGTAGTTTAGTTAACTGAGATTTCTCACTTCAACTCAATCCCTAAACCAATACTCGAGTGTGCCTTACTGAAACTGACTTGGGTGTGGTTTTGAAAACAATTTAGGGCGAGGCGCCTAAAGATAAACCAACCAAACCATCTGTTTGACTAAACAAATTTAGTTTGAACTTTAATGTACTCTATCCTTTTTATATTTCCAAAATCCATGTGATACAGATTGGCACAGAAAGAATCTAGCTTGGGAGATGCCTAGGTTGAGTGTCTGCCTTCAGCTCAGGTCTTCATCCCAGGATCCTGGGATTGAGTCTGGCAAAGGGCTCCTAGCTCATCCAGCTCCGCCAGGAGCCTGCTTTTCCCTCTGCCTGCTGCTCCCCCTGCTTGTGCGCTCACGCTCGCTCTCACGCATGCGCTCACTCTCTCTGTCTCTCTGACAAATAAATAAAATCTTTAAAAGAAGGGAAGGGAGGGAAGGAAGGGGAGAGGGGGAGGGAAAGAATGAATCTGGCTTGGGTCTTCAACAAAATTCCATTAGGCTCCCAATGTTAACTGATTATAATAAACATGTTCAAGTCACATTAGAGTTTAGACCCCAGGGTCAGACCACCTGGGTTCTGGTCCCAGGTCATCACTTACTAGCTACATATCCTTAGGCACACTTCTTCATCTCTCTCTATGTATATTTTAGTTTCTTCATCTGTAAAATGAGAATGGTAGCATTATCTACTTTCTTGATTAAAGATTAAATGAGTTAACTTATGTCAAGTGTTTTGTATAGTGCTTGGTACACAGTAAGCAATAAATTAAGGAACCATAATAAATGGTAACTATTATCATAAGCAGCACCTTTAAAGATGACTGAATCTCTTAAAAAAGGACACTGGCAGGGCGCCTGGGTGGCTCAGTGGGTTAAGCCGCTGCCTTCGGCTCAGGTCATGATCTCAGGGTCCTGGGATCAAGTCCCGCATCGGGCACTCTGCTCAGCAGGGAGCCTGCTTCCCTTCCTCTCTCTCTGCCTGCCTCTCTGCCTACTTGTGATCTCTCTCTGTCAAATAAATAAATAAATAAAATCTTTAAAAAAAAAAAAAAAAAGGACACTGGCAGAACATTCTATGATGGCACTAATTAACTGTCCTCCTTAATATGTGCACAGAGACACACAGCAGCACTGCTTACTAGAGGTCCCTCTAACAGATGGCATCACTGCTCTGTATTGCCCATTTTTTAAAAAAGATTTAATTGAGAGAGAGAGGGTGTGTGGGGGTAGGGGGAAGGGGGGATACAGGGAGAGGCAGAGGGAGAGAAAGAGAATACCAAGCAGACTGCCCCCTGAGCAGGGAGCCCGACACAGGGCTCAATCCCACAACCCTGAGATCATAACCCGGAAGGAAATCAAGAATAGGATCCTCAAATGACTGAGTCCCCAGGTGCCCCTGTATTGTCCCTGTTTAAACAACTGCTAGACTGCAAGCTTACTGAAGTCTGGAGCGATTACAATGCTTATCTTCTGACATTCCCAACACAATGCTCTGAACACAGATCTTAAATAATGCTTATTAAACTAATATAATAAGGGGGCACCTGGGTGGCACAGTCAGTTAAGCGTCAGGCTCTTGATTTTTTGACTCAGGTGGCGATCTCAGGGTCGTGAGATCCAGGTGTATGAGCTCAGTGTGGAGTCTGCTTGAGAGTCTCCCTCTCTGTCCCTCTGGCTTTGTGCTTGCGCACACAGTCTCTCTCTAAAAATAAACAAATCTTGGGGCACCTGGGTGGCTTAGTGGGTTAAAGCCTCTGCCTTAGGCTCAGGTCATGATCCCAGGGTCCTGGGATTGAGCCCCTCGAAGGGCTCTCTGCTCAGCAGGGAACCTGCTTCCCCCCCCGCGCCGCTTCCCCCTCTTGTGATCTGTCAAATAAATAAATAAAATCTTTCTTAAAAAAGGTCATCTAGTTATTTTATAGATGATAAAATAGATGATGAAACTGAGCAAAGTAATGACTTTATCATCAAAGGTTCACATGCTGGCCAAGCTAGAGCTGGTTCTTTCCTCTACCAAGAACATCACATCTCACTCACTCCATGGACCCTCAAACTGTGCACATTAGAATCACTCATACTGAATATACTTTTCCTAAGTTTTGAACCAACACATGACCACTATTTCCATTACAAATAAACACCACTTGGAGATCAAGTAAGGCAAATATTTGAGAGGCCCTACCACTCCATAAGATTTGCCATAAAAACCAATGTTATTTGTGTATAAGAAATAAAGAAATACAAGGGCTAAACAAAAAAAGGCCTAAAACCATGGCAATGAAACTAGTTAACTCCAAATGGGAACCACTCACAACAGGTAACATTAGCAGAGGTCAAATACCAAAAATGAGCACTGCTGGAGGCAAAAACAGAGGCAATTAGCTGGAACTCTCAAGAGGGTGGAAATGGTCTCAGGTGAGCAGTGACCCTCGCTCACTGTAGAAGTAAATACAATCCTTTCAGGAAAAACAACCTTAACGTTGATCCTCAGGTTTTTCCCCACGTTAAAATCAACCAAACAGAAGGTCTTAGTAAAAATTTCACAAACCCAAAAGCAATCTTCACAAGTGACAGTCATCAGAAATAATAAACCATATACTTGGGCCCTCAAAGGCTTCAGATACTAAGATTATAATACAGAACATAGAATAACTATGTATGAAATTTTTTTTTAGATTATTTATTTATTTATTTGACAAAGAGAGGGAGAGATCATAGTAGGCAGAGAGGCAGGCAGAGAGAGAGGGGGAAGCAGGCTCCTCACCAAGCAGAGACCCCAGTGCGGGGCTCAATCCCAGGACCCTGAGATCACAACCCAAGCCAAAGGCAGAGGCCCAACCCAGTGATCCACCCAGGTGCCCCTGAAATGTTTAAAAAATAAATTAACCACAATATGACAAGCCTCAGAGACTATCAAAAATGAGCAGAGCTGAAAAAGAAACCAAACAGAACTTACAGAAATAAAATGTTGAAAAAGTTATTTACAGGGCACTTGACTGGCTCAGCTGGTGGAGCATGTGACTCCTGATCTCAGGGTTGTGAGTTCAAGGCCCACCTTGGGTGTAGAGATTACATGAAAAATAAAATCTTGGGGCACCTGGGTGGCTCAGTGGTTAAAGCCTCTGCCTTTGGCTCAGGTCATGATCCCAGAGTCCTGGGATCCAGCCCCGCATCAGGCTCTCTGCTCAGCAGGGAGCCTGCTTCCCTCTCTCTGCCTGTGATCTGTCAAAGGAAGGAAGGAAGGAAGGAAGGAAGGAAGGAAGGAAGGAAGGAAGGAAGGAAGGAAAATAAAACCTTGGGGCACCTGGGTGGCTCACTCAATTAAGCATATGCCTGTGGCTGGGGTCATGATCCTAGAGATCCAAGCCTTGGGCTACCTGCTCAGAGAGGAGTCTGCCTCTCCCTCTCTCCTGCTCATGCTGTCTCCTGCATGGTGCATGTGCCCTCTCTCCATCAAATAAATAATAAATAAATAAAATTTTAAAAATAAATAAAATAAAATCTTTTTTAAAAACTTTAAAAAATACTTTACAAATCAACTAATGAATAGGAGCTTTGACACAGATGAAGAGGAATAAGTAAATTAAAAGACAGATTTGAAAAAATTCCCCAGAGACCAGCACAGGGAGACAAGGAGGTACAAACCATGCCAAAAGAGATAGAATAAGAAAGTCCACTACACGTTTACTGGAGTTACAGGCCAAAATAATAAAGAACAATGAAGAGTCTGCTGACGCCACTGCCCGAGAGCCTCCCTGCATCACTAGCCACTGTCAGCTCCACCATAGTCTTTGACATCTCACCAAAAGGCAAGCACTTCAGCTGCATCTCTCTGGAGCTATTTGCAGACAAAGTTCCAAACACAGTGGAGAACTTTTGTGCTCTGTGCACTGGGGAGAAAGGATGTGGCTATAAAGGTTCCTGCTTTCACAGGATTATTCCAGGATTTCTGTGCCAGGGTGGTGACTTCACATGCCATAATGGCACTGGTGGCCAGTCCAACTATGGGGAGAAATTTGATGATGAGAATTTCATCCCAAAACATACAAGTCCTAGGATCTTGTCCATGGCAAATGGCCCCAACCCAAATGGTTCCCAGTTTTTTGTCTGCACTGCCAAGACCAAGTGGCCAGATGGGAAGCATGCAGTCTTTGGCAAGGTGAGAGAGAGCAGGAATATTGTGGAGGCCATGGAGTGCTTTGGGTCCAGGAACAGCAAGACCACCATTACTGACTGTGGACAAATGTAATAAATTTGACTTGTCTTATCTTTACTATCAGACCACTCATCCTGCAGCTCAGGAGAACAGCCCTTCACCCCCATCTGCTTGAAATACCCTATAATCTCTGTGCTCTCACTGCAGTCCTATGGGTTCCATGCTTTCCTTACTCCCCTCCAAGCAGCTGGATTGTAGAGTTAAGTTTATGATTATGAAATAAAAACTACACAACAACAACAAAAAGAATGAAGAGTCAGAGTCAATATAATATCCAAGGAGAGAATGGCTAACAACTTTATCTAACTGAAAGACATGAATCCACAAATACCAACCAAAATAAAGAGAAATACACATCTTGTAGACACAGTAATGAATCTATAGCATAGCAAAGGCAAGAATAAAAAAAGAGCATCTACAAAAGCGTAACAATTAGACACTGGCAAACTTGTAACAGAAATAACAGAAGAGGAATAGAGTTTCTTCAAAATGCTAAAAGGAAATAACTGGCAACCTGGATTTCTACCCCAGAACTATCTTTTGAGAATGTGTGCAAAATAAAGTCACTTCAGATGAACAAAAACAAAGGCACCACCTACATACCTGCAGAAAAGGAATTGCTAAAGAAGAAAAGTGATCCTAGGAAGAAAAATTAGAAATGCCATAAGGACTATGAGTCAAGAAACTGCTAAATGGGGGGAAAAAATCTAAAAATGTATTTTGTATATGGATGATGACGTCCAATTTATGAGTTTAAAAAAAGGCTGGACTAAAATACTGAACAACAGTAGCAAATAACTTAATAGTTGAGTTTAACTGGAATTGAAGTGCTTCAATGTTCTTGTTTTGTTTGGTGGAAGAAGACAGTATTAATTGCGGACTTTGTCACATATATGCAGGGTAAAATTCAAGGGCAACCACTAAAATAGAACAAAACAGTATGTAATTTCCAAACCAATAGAGGGGAGAATATAAAAGAAAACTTAGTTGTTTAAAAAGGCAAGCGTGGGGGCACCTGGGTGGCTCAGTGGGTTGAGCATCTGATTCTTGATTTCCGCTCAGGTCATGATCTCAAGGTCATGGGATCCACTCATCAGCAGGGAGTCTTCTTTTCCCTCTCCTTCTGCTCCTCCCCCTGCTCATTCTGGCTCTCTCTAATAAACAAATAAAGTCTTTAAAAAAATAAAAAGGTAAGGGAATCTGGGTGGCTCAGTCAGTTAAGTGTCTGCCTTTGGCTCAGGTCATGATCTCCAGGTCCTGGGATGGAGCCTCATGTCCAGCTCCCAGCTCAGCAGGGAGTCTGCTTCTCACTCTCCCTCTGTATATCTCCCTGCTTGTGCTCTCTCGGTCTCAAATGAAAAATTAAATCTTTAAAAAAATAAATATTTTTTTAATTAAATAAATAAAAAGGCAAGCATGAAGGGGAAAAAGACAAATAGAAAACAAAATATAGGGGCAACTGGGTGGCACAGTCAGTTAAGCATCTATCTCTGGCTTAGGTCATGATCTCAGGGTGCTGGGATCAAGCCCTGCATCCGTCTCCCTGCTCTGCACAGAGTCTACCTGTTTCCCTCTCCTTTTGTCCCTCTCCACCACTCATTCCCTCTCAAATAAATAAAATCTTAAAAAGAAAAAAAGGAAAGAAAATGCAAAATGATAGAAAAGGTACAAATTTATCAGAATCACAATAAATATATTGCCAGTTAAAAGACAGAAATTATAACCAGTATGGTACACTAAATAATGGTCATTAGAGATATTAGTTCTAACCCCAGGAGCCTGTAAACGTTACTTTACATGGCAAAGACTTTGCTAATGTAATTAAAGATCTGGGGTAAAGAGATTATCCTGGGCTACCTGGATTACCTAAATGCAATTGCCAACAAGAAGGAAGAGGGAAATCTGACTACACATTCATCAGAGAGCAGTACGACCAGGGACACAGGGACTGCAGAGAGGTGGCCACTGCCAAACAATGCTGGCAGCTATAAGAAGGCAGAAGAGCCAAGGGGCAAATTCTCCTCTAAGAACCTCCAGAGCCATCACCATGATGTCAGCTCAGTCATACAGATTTTGGACTTCTGGCCTCCAGAACTGTAAGAGAATACTTTATTGTTTTATGGCACCAAGTTTGAGGCAATTGATTACAGCATCCCCCCCAAAAATTAATATATCAATAAAACATAAGAACAGAATACAAAAGTACGCAAGTAAATGGATGAAAATAGGTATACCAGGCAAATACCAACCAAAAGAAAGGTGGAGTTTCTATGTTAATATAAAACAAAAAGACCTTGGAAAATAAAAGCTTTTATTTGGGATGGAAAACCAATACTTAATGGAAAAAAAAGCTCACTACAACAGGAAGATTAAAAATATATATAGGGGCACCTGGGTGGCTCAGTGGGTTAAAGCCTCTGCCTTCGGCTCAGGTCATGATCCCAGGGTCCTGGGATCAAGCCGTACATCGGGCTCTCTGCTCCGAGCCTGCTTCCTCCTTCTCTCTGCCTGCCTCTCTGCCTACTTGTGATCTCTGTCTGTCAGATGGATAAATAAAATCTTAAAAAAAAAAATTTTTTTTAAATATATATATGTTTTATAAAATGGTCTCAAGACAAATGAAGCAAAAATTGCTGGAACTCAGAAACTGATAAATTGGTTATCATAAAGAGAAACTAAAGCACTGCTCAATTACTAGTAGGCAAAGCAGTCAAAGATTCGTAAACAGCAAATAGAAAATAAGAACAATCAACAAGTTACATCTTCATAAGTATAAAGAACCTTGCAACTCCCTGTTTTCTAAAAACAAAGAATATATACTCTTCTCTAGAATACAAAAAACATGTATAAATAATAACCTCATATCTGGGTGGAAATTTTTAAATTTTTTTTGAGATTTTTATTTATTTATTTGATGGAGAGAGAGCACAAGCAGAGGGAGAGGGAAAAGCAGGATTCCCACTGAGGAGGGAGCCCAATGCAGGACTCGATTCCAGGACCCTGGATCATGATCTGAGCCAAGAGCAGATGCTTAATTGAGCCACTCAGGTGTCCCAAATTTTTTTAAAATTTTTTAAAAGATTTTATTTATTTGAGAGAGCATGAGAGCAAGAGAGATTGAGAGAATGAGTTGGGAGAGGGGCAGAGGAAGAAGCAGACTCCCCACGGAGCAGGGAGCCTGACGTGGGAATCTATCTCAGAACCGTGGGATCATGACCCGAGCCAAAGGCAGATGCTTAACTGACTGAGCCACCCAGGCACCCCTGGGTGGAAATTTTTAAAATCTCAACAAATTCCAGAGAATCAGTAGCATACAAACCATTTCTCTGGTCACAGTGCAATTAAAACATATTAATAACAGAAATTTAAAATTTTATATACACATTATATATACATACACATTTATACACAAATATGTATATATATTTAAAATTTTAAAGGCACATTTCTTTTTTTAGAGAGAGAGAGGGAGGGAATCCCAAGGAGGCTCCACACCCAGCACAGAGCCCAACATGGGGCTTCATCCCATGACCCCAAGATCATGACATGAGCAGAAACCAAGAGTCAGATATCCAACTCACTGAGTCACCCAGGTGCCCAAAAAAGCATACCTTACAGATCGAAGAAGAAATCATAAGGAAATTTTAAACACACGTACATAATGAAAAGATAATCCGTTGAAAACCACTGGCATCACTAAAGAGCTACTTTTAGAGAAAAACAGAGACTCAAAACACTATAAGAAAAGTGACCAATGGGTGCCTGGGTGGCTCAGTGGGTTAAGCCTCTGCCTTCGGCTCAGGTCATGATCTCAGGGTCCTGGGATCGAGTCCCACATCGGGCTCTCTGCTCAGCGGGAAGCCTGCTTCCCCGTCTCTCTCTGTCTGCCTCTCTGCCTACTCCAGGATCTCTCTCTCTGTGTCAAATAAATTTAAAAACAAAACAAAAAAAAAAAAACCTTAAAAAAAAAAGTGACCAACTTCTACGAAGTTAGAAAAAGAATAAATTTCACACTATTTAGCAATCCATAATCCCCACTACGCTTTATACATATTTATTTTCTAATCCTTAAATCAACTCTTGAGAGTCAGATTATAGGTACAGCTAAGAATGTGCTGATTACCTGAGTTGAAGCACAAACCGTATGTCCTTTCAGGGGAAAAAAAAAAAGTATGTGCATCAATCTCAAATTGTAATTCATGTATTTACTCTAGCAAACAACATGCAGCCTTGATTTTTACTAAGAATAAAGATGATGTCATAGCTTTTTTCACAGCACACTGAAATCTGGGGTCAATGGCCTCAAAAGCCAAAACAACATACTAATAACTTGTTTCATGAAAAAGGTACTGGCAGGCTTCCATAGCTGTAGTCATGAAAATGTGCAGTTTTCATGAAAATTCTACTTCATCCTAGTACATTATGAAGCAACAAAAACAGAAATTATCCACCAGAAAAAATTAAAATATACTTTATTTATTTGTTTGAGTAATCTCTACACCCAACATGGGGCTTGAACTCATGACCCTGAGATCAAGAGTTGCATGCTCTTCCAACTAAGCCAGCCAGGCACTCCTAAAATATACTTTAAAACAGAAATGCTAGGTTGATTTTTTCTAAGATATGGATGATAAAAGTAACTGTGGTTGGGGCACCTGGGTAGTGCAATGGTTTAAGGTGTTTCAGCTCAGGTCGCTCTCACAAGGAGCCCCAGGTCTGTGTTGGGTGAGGAGTCTACTTGGGATTCTCCCTCTCCCTCTGCACCTCCTTCTCATGTTCCCTCTCTCTCTCTAAAATAAATGAGTATTTTTAAAAATTTAAAAAGTAACCGTGGGTGAGTGACGTGAAACATCTCAATCAATGACATGAACAGCCCTAAGAGGCATCTACCTCGAGTCCCTCCCAAAGACCCTAACAGGAGAGCCTGGACCACCAGCCTCGTGGGCTCACCCTGCACTCTGTCTGACCTGAATAGCCCTGAGCCCTTTAAGTGGGACTTCTGTTCTTGTTATCTTTGATTCCTGAATGTTCAG